TTCCTCCTCCTATGGATTATTTTAAAATGAATGTTGATGGAGCGGTGAGTAGTTTGGGGATGGTGGCTGGTATTGGGGGTATTCTTAGGAACTGGAATCGGGTGATTCTGACTTCTTTTTCGATAAATGTTGGTCCTAATACTCCCATCCTAGCAGAATTAAAGGCTATCAAGAAAGGCATTGACATCTTTGTTTCATCTGTTTGGGCTTCGAAGGGTAGGCTTATTGTTGAAAGTGATTCAAAGACAGCAGTGGAATGGATTAAATATCAAAATTCTGTCCCTTTGTACCTATCTATTTTTGTGAAGGAGATAGTGTCTGCTGTTTCTCGAAATCAGATCGTTATCAGGTGGATCCCTAGGTGTTGTAACTGTGAGGCGGATAAGCTGGCTAAGGAGGGTATTGGCTGAGTGTTTCTAGTCTTTGGTATTTTAGTTGGAGTGTGTTTTCTATGTGGTGAGGTATTGTAGGAGTGTTTCTTGTCTTAAGTATTTTTGTAGGAGTGTGTTTTCTTCTGTATGTTATTTTTGTAAGTGTTTCATTTTTAATAAATTGATGTTCTCTTTTCCTCCTTTTTCTAGAGGGTTCTTGCCTTACGGCAATGGACTACTTAGAAGGAGGTTTTAAATGAGACATCCTATTCCTATCAAAAAAAAAATGATACAGATTATATCTATAACCACTCAACATTTCTTTTTTGATTAATTATTTTTAATATAAAGACTAAAAATATTTATGATTTATTTATGAACATAATTCTGTGTAAATAAGTTTTTGGTATATATAATATACATATATATATATGTTATGGTACTAAAATATAATGTGAGATTTAAAGTATTTTAAGGTGTAAAATGATTATTTGCTTATATATTATGTAATATATTTTTAATATAAAATATCAGAACCATTGTAGATATCTGCTTATCATATGTTCAGTTGATATGTTACATTATTGGTGGAACTTGAATTCTACATGGAATATGTTTGGAACCTTCCGATAATATTTTAATATTTGCATAGTACAAACTAAGGGTTCACTGACCCTATGAATGCAATTAATCCTACTGGAAGGTTTGATCGTACACTTTAGAGAATTACTTGAAAAGAAAAAAATATACATTTAGTTGTTTTCCCTCTCTTTCAGATAATCAAGTTCAATAAAAGTGCTTTCTTGTTCCTATCTTTATTTGCAACTATAGTAGGACATTGATGTTGTGTTCTTTTTTATTGTTTGTACTCAATTCTTTGTATACTGACTATGCAGCATTGCAAATTATATTGATGAATATACATTTGTTTGTAGGGAACAGGAGATCTAATGACTGCACTTCTGCTTGGGTGGAGTAATGTAATTTTCTTTTTTATATTCCTGCCTTAACCGCTATATAAAGGTTCAATTTCTTAGATATACTTTTTGTTCTCCTCAGAAGTTTCCCGACAACCTTGATAAGGCAGCGGAGCTTGCAGTATCGAGTTTGCAGGTATTTGTGGTTTTAAGCTTAAAATTGTTTTTCTTGCGTCTATAATCTGACTAACTAATGCACTTCTAATGTGATGAAAAGCTTTTCTTGTATATGCATGTTTAAGTAGCAGTAATCAATCATAGCATTTCGAGCTTGCGTACACTTTCATAAGCATTTCTAGTAATGAATAGTCATAGGAATCTTAATTATCCTATTCAAACTCTAATGTGCAAATAGTAATTTATGATACAGCTCTCAATCTGCTTCATTATTAGGAGCGATAATGTTCTGGCTTTGTTTTAGAAAAAGAATTACGAAAGTGTGATATTTTGGATTTTAGAAATTGAATTGAATACCATTGGTATCTGAACTGACCCATGCAAACTTTCATTGGTTTAGCTGGTTTAGTTTATCTTTTTTTTAATGGATGTCTTTGTTATATAATATTTTTCATTAGAAATCAAATATTTAACTTTTGTAGTATAAAAATTAAAAATACAATTTGGTTTGAGTAATTACGGTTTTTGACTTATTGATAGAAAGCCAGAACAAATACATTCAATTATTATCCAATCAAAAATCAAATAGAATTTAATAAGAACTGAACCGATACCAAATTGAACATTGTGGCATGAATTGCTTTCCGGTTTTCCTTGTTTCTTTGCTCAGTGCTTGTCATTCCTATTGTAATCTTGGATCTGTGGTGGATTAGACTACACTGTTGATCTAGGCTGAGTTATCACGAAACCATGTACCCAAAAGGATGCAAAAAGACTTCTCATTCACTTCAAACTTCATGTGAATAAGTTGTTGTAATTTTATTAATGAATTCTAAATTTTAGAACAGCTTTTACAGTACATAAAAATATATTAAACCTCAAAGGCTTTAGAATTTTGGTCTTGTATTAATTGGATTTACATTAATCAAGTATGGGTTAGTCTTTAATTGTTCTTACCGATTTTACTTGAACATGGCCTATTAATTGATGTTATAGACCATCAATAACACCCGAAACAGTTGCACTTGGTGAATTGCTTATTCGATGGTGATAAAATGTATATAGTTACCCCTCTTGGAATGCTTATTCGAATTGTGCTCCCATGCTCGAGTATCTTAGGCCAATTTGTGGAAACCATAGGCATTCATGAGTAAGGATATAAGCCGTACACTTGTTCTTGCAAGTCACTTGGGTTTGGCTTGAAAATCTAAAATTCAACTTGGTCATTGTCAAGTTCATCTTGAGCTGGAGCTCAAGTAAACATAAGCTGTTGAATGAATCAAATTCGAATATTTTGATGCATGTATCTAGTAGCTTGTGAGCTTCATGTTTAATATATTTAGTTATTCTTTTAGCTAATCTCGACTCAATAAGAATTTGAGTTTAAAGTCATCTATGTGACTAACATAATTTTCAGTGGGTAAACGACTTAGTCTAAGCTAATCGTGACAGCTCGAGCAATTTGATTTTGGGCTTGAGTTTTAAAAGTGAAACTTCATCGAGCTTGAATTTCAAGTTTAGCTCGAGTCTCTCATAGTTTGAGCTTGAATTGACTCGATTTCGGCTGTATAAATGATGGGAAAACTACCATTTATCTTGTACGGTTCTATCTGGTATGTTTAGCCAACAAACATTTGCAGTTTGAGTTTATTTTCAAAACCATATTTCATTCATGTTTAAACTTTCCTGTAGGCACTTTTGCAGAGGACATTGAATGACTACACAAGTGCCGGATTTGATTCAGAATCGAGCAGCTTAGAGATTCGGTTGATTCAAAGTCAGGATGACATCCGCGAACCGAAATTGACATTCAAAGCTCATAAATACACCTGAAAGCCAATACACGATGAGTGATGCGTATTGAACGATGAGTGATGCGTATTGAACTACAATAATCCTCTTGTTTTTTTCGTAAAAGGTATAATGCTATTCAAAGTTGATAGCAGTGTGTAGGAATAAAGAGATACTAAAAAGTGGATGGAAGAAATACTCTTGAACATTCTTGTTTCAAAAGCTGTTGAGATAGATATTTCTAAGAAGCTGGATTCATGAATCTCTTCCATTCGATTCAGTGTTTTTTGATACCACTCATTTTCCATTTAAAAATGTCACAAACACTTGTTTTTACGATTCGATCTTTTGATCGGCTCCATCTAATTGTGGCTTTTGTGTGCTGATAGATGTTCAAAAGATTTGGTAGTAATTCTGCTGTGCGGTAGTCTAACCAAAGGTTAATTTGAGGTAAATTTTAACTTATTATTCTATCTAAACTAAAATATTATGCAATTGTTAATTATTTTGGTTACAATTGAGAATGTTATATTGCAGTCAGTTATTATAAAATATTATGTTTACTCTAAAATATTACACAACTGATGATAATTTTGTTTATAATCGAGAATGTTTTGACGGTAAATTTTGAGTTATAATTAGAATAATTATGTAATTTACATGATTTATTATAATATTTTCAATTTTAATCTAAAATATTATCTAATCTATTTTAAAAAGTTACGTTTGGATGATTTTTCTGTTATAATCGATTTATACATTTTTAAAATTTTATATTAATTGATCATGATTTAAAGTAGATTCATCCATAAATTTCATACGGTCCTCAATAATTAAGGTACTTATTATTTATTGAGTTTTTAGGTTTGAACATCTTGTATATTGGAGTTATAAATGTTCATGATAAAATGAAACGTTGTGGTCAAAAAATATTTTTAAAAAAAGAATATGAAATAAAGTGAATATTAATATGAAAGATTCCTTGGGAAGATGATGAAATCTAATCCAAAATGTTGGTTGGGAAAACAGTTATTTGACTGTTTGTCGTTGGTTAGTTCAATATATTTTTGGGAAGCAAAGACTTTATGTATTTGCCTCTGTAATTGTCACGGAATGAATTGGAAAATTTTTGAAATTTTTGTAGTGGAATGGTCCACATATATTCTCAAAAATCTCTTCGAACATTTTAATTCTTATTTGGATAAACTTCGTCAAATACCACTCATCTTTAAGTTCGGACTCGAAAATGCCATTGAAGTTTTAATTTTATCAATTTTAGCAAGGACATTTATGTTTCACTGCAATTTTGCCGCTCAGGCTCGAAAAATGCCACTGATGTTTTAATTTTATCAATTTTAGCACGGACATTTATGTTTTCCTGTAATTTTGTCACTCCGTCGTTAATCTGTTAAAGGGATGATGACATGATATCTTTGTTCCGTGACGGCGATGACATGACATCTTTATTCCATGACGGCGATGACATGACTCCTTCATCAAAACGGCGTCGTTTTGCCACAACCTTTTTGATGCTCAAAACGACGTTTTGTTGATGAAAAAAATATTTTTTATGGGATTCAAATCGTAGACCTTTAGAATCTAAAACTAATTACCCAACCACCAAGCTAATTTAAAAACTTAGTATGATCTTAACAAACTATTGTTTTACTATGGAAATTGGAACCAATTTAACATCTTACTTCCTTGAAAATCGAAACCGTTGATGTGCAAACTGTAAATGTAACAGTCTCTAGGGTTCATCGGTTCCGGGGTGTCGTTGCTCTGCTTGAACTTCGCAAAGTCACCCGAAATCGCTCCTGTATTGCTGACAGCAGCCCTGAGCTTGAGTTCTTTCAGCCAAGCTGGTTTTCTTCTCAACATGCAAGTAAGTCACTTTTTGTCCACACCAATAGATTTAACAGAAAGAATGGATTCGCCGTCAAACTAAGTGCTGCTGCTTATTTCACCAGGACATTGCACCTCAATATGCAGGATTTCTCCACGGTATGTTAAAGCCAATGATTGTATTCGTATTTGTAGTAACAACGATGACATTGTTCTTAATTGGAATCTGGGAAACAGGCATATCAAATTCAGCTGGGACACTGGCCGCCATTATCAGCACCATCGGAACCGGCTATTTCGTACAGTGGTTAGGATCTTTTCAGGCATTCCTCTCGCTCACAGCTTTCTGCATTGCAGGAATTCAATTTCCCTGTGGGTTGAACAGTTTAAGATCAAATACTAGTGTGTTTGTGCAGCAATGGTTCTTGGTTTGAATGCAAAGAACCGGATAGGACCGACGGTTCGCGTTGAGTATCTAATCGAAATTCAGGAGATTAAACCTTGACCACTGTCGCTGTCACTGAGATCACTTCGTTCCGTCCTGATTCAGTGGCAAAATGGTAAACATAATTCGGGGTCTCTACCAAAACTAAGTTCTTAATTTTAGATTCTAAAGGTAGTTCGAATCCCATGAAAAATATTTTTTTCATTAACAAAACGACGTCGTTTTGAGCTTTTTGAACATAAAAAATGTCATGCCAAAACGACGCCATTTTGATGAGGGAGCCATATCATCGCTCTCACGGAACAAAGATGCTATGTCATCGTCCCGTTAACGGATTAATGGCGGAGTGGCAAAATTACATTGAAATATAAATGTCCATGCTAAAATTGACAAAATTAAAACGTCAGTGATATTTTCGAACCCTAGCTTAAAGATGAGTAGTATTTAACGTAGTTTACCCTTCTTATTTCGGTAGATATAAATTGCATATTATTTCATTATATTTTATATTTTTCAAAGCAAAAGTAATATCATATAATTTTTTATTCCATAAACTAATAGTCTTTTCAAATATTTTATAAGTAAGACTGTTATGTTGTCATGTATCTTTCTTTTTTATTATTATTATTATTAATTTAGGTTAATTATAAGTGATAATATTTATTTGTAAAGAATCTTAACTATTTGACAATAAATATTCAATTACTTTAAGCTTGTTGATGTTCATACCAAATGCCTCTAGAGACAACAATTATCTCTTTAATCACCGAGTTCACTTAATTCGTGCAATGTATTTTTAATTTTTATTAAAAATAATAAAATAAAGATATGATAATATAATACGCGTGCTTGTAGATTATTTTCTTTACATTAAGTGAACTAAAATTTTAGTAATGACAACTAATAAATTTTTAAAGGGGACGAAAATAGATTTTTAATAAAAAATTTATAATTTAAAAAAAATATATGATAAGTTCAAATTTTTAAAAGAATAATTGCCTCCACTGATCCGGTCCATAATGAGTATTTCATATAATGATTGTAATTTTGTTTATTATCAATTGAATACTGGTTGAGTTTTTTAAGATTATGTTTTAAATGTGTTCAATAAATTTTACATGAGATAAGAAGTTGTCTATATGTATATATATATATATATATATATATACACCAAAAAATGTATATATATAATTTATTAATTAATTAATTCGAATCAAATAGTATAACAATTTATTATAAAATCATCTTCTAAGTAAATAGTTTCATTTATATCATAGGATAGAAACTATAAAATATTTATTTTTAAAAGACATATTTATTCTACTAAATCAAATAATAGTATTAAAATATAAACAAAAATAGTAAGGATTTAATTAGGAGTGTTCAAAATTGAGTATCCACATTTTCATTACACAAAGTATTGGGTATTAGAAATTTTAAGATATCAAAATGTCGGCCTGTGTTCTGGTCGGTTAAACCTGAGTACCCGCAAATTGGGTACACATAAAACTTGAGAACCCATATTTTCGGGTCACGAGTACTCGATCCATATTTTGTATTATTTAAATTATATTAGTTTTTAAAAAAAAATTACATAAAAAATTTAAAATTTAAATGTCTATAATACATAATCCACATACAAAATTTAAAAATTCAAATTAAATAATTAAAAGATAAAACTTATTAAAAAATAAAATCAAATAAATACAATTAAATATAACATATTTTAAAGTTAAAAAATAATTTGACAAATAATTTAAATTGGTAGGGTGAAATAATTAAAGAAATTAATTATTAAGAATGTTATGTTATGGTAAAATAATTTAAGAAATTTAGAATTAGAATGATAGGGTGAAATAATTTAATTAGGAATAAAAAGTTTAATATAAAATAAAAATATATAAGAAATTGGGTATGTGAGCAGCAGATATCCGATGAAAATATCCGCCCCACCTAAAACCCCAAGAAAAATAACTGATCAAGTACCCGACTCACAAAATCAAATATTTTTATTATAAATATCCGATATTTTTAACTAGATCGATTGATCAAATTATTCGAGTTGGGTATATTTTTCAACATCCCTAAATTTAAACACATTCAAATGGCTCTAATCCCGGCGGCTAAAATAATGTAGTATTAATAAATCAAATATTATAAAATATTGAAAACTTTATTTTATTATTTGGGTAAACTACACCAAATGCCAATAAAATTTAGAATTTATATTGATTTTATCACTAAACTTTAAAATATTTAAACACGAACCAAGCAACCTGGGTTGAGGTCCCAGATTTGAGCACCACATATACTACGTGTATGAGTGTTTATTGTCAAATGATTAAAAATCTTTGAACATATATTATCTTGTATTAACTTTAGATTTATAAAAAAAAAAACTTCAATTCTAGATTTCGACTTCAATGAAAATTTGAATGGACTTCAATTTTTTCGGATCAATAACAAATCTATGAATATTTTCTTTTAATTAATTCATATTTTATCATAATAATTCAATTTCAACATTAAATTAATTCAACTTAAGAATCAAATTATTAAAATTAATAGTATAACATATTGACTGTGACTGTTTGTTTCGAATAATCAGCAAGAAAACAATGGAAACCAGAAGCTGATATTTGAATGACTGGTAGATGTCGTAAAGCTTCCGATAAACCAACCGGTCCAAACATGGAACCGAGTCACTCACCGAGTTGCAAACTGCCATGCATGCCGAGCACCGAATTAGATGAAACAACCGAATCAGGGTTTAAGCCGAAGAAAGATATTTCCAAAAGAAATGGAAGCATGCAGTAAAACCTCTTATTACTTCTTGATAATCTGTGTTCTCAAAACATCATTTTAATCGAGGTTCATATCACTTTTGGTAATTAGCTTTGATATTGATGTGTAATTTGGTACTCAACTTTTGTTTTTGTACAATTAGGTACCTATTTTTTTTATTAGGCCTCTCGTTTTTTTTTTATAATTACGCTCAATTTTGATTGATTCATAATTATAATTTTATCGTCGTTTAGTTAAAGGGATAATAAGTGTTACAAATTCAAAAGTTAAGTACTAAAAATTCTTAGTACGAACCCATGGAGTGAAAAAGAAAATGTTAGTTATCTATTTGCTCCCAAAAAAAAATAAAGGTTAAGTATTAATTTACACTATTAAAAAAATAGATACCTATTTGTATCATTAGAAAAATAAGTAGCTTATAAATATGATATCCAACATGCCAAGATGTAAATGTTCATAATTTTTTGTGAGGAGAAAGTGGTAGGGATGGCAAACGGGTGGAGCGGGCATTGATACTCTTCTCCCCGTTCTCATACCTATCTAATATTTTTGTATCTACCACCTACTTACTATTCATGACGGGTAAAATTTTTAAATTCACACCCGCCCACACGGATATATTCTCAAATTCATCTCCACACCTACTACGCAATTGTATACTCACCACCCATCTTGTATCCATCTGTAACCACCCATACCTACCAATTTGATATAGATGAAATGTCGGTCTTCAATTCTAAAAATGTTTATACCTAACATTTGGTTAAATTACAAAATTTATAATATCCAAAATTTATATGGTGAGTAATTAGTGAGCGAGTAAATATGGGGTGGGTGGATACTATAGAGGGCGAGTAAGGTCTCAAAGCCATCACCTACCTACTACTCACAGTGGGTATGACTTTTTATATCCACACCGACCTACTACCTACTAAACTTATAACTATTTTCACCTCATTTGAAATGGGTATTGTACGAAATCCACGGAATTGTACCTCTATTCCATCCTAAAGTGGGCAATGAGATAATTGAGGAATAAAAGTTAAATAAAAGGTTCAAATTGGAAGAGCGAATGCACACATATGACAAAATAAAATAAAAAAGGAGTGCCAGAGAAAGGAAAAAGTGTGAGACCATTGAAAGAAATATCGATTTGTTAGATTTGATGATGAATCTTTTCAAAGAAAAAGAGAATGATGGAAGCATCGAAGTTCAAATTCAAGACAATAGACATGAAAGATGAATGAAGCTCATTTAAATCTTAGTTATGATTATGCTGGTATTGTTTACCTCATACATCATGTTGTGTTTTATTAAATTTTTAGAAGTAGACGAAAATTAACAATGGCCTCACTCCCTCTTCTCTTTTAAATTTTCTAAAACCGTGTTTGTACATCACTATGTAATTGTATGAATATCATAATAATTACACGAGAATTCAGCTATATGTAATGGGAAGCTTTGTGGGTAGGTATGAAAGAGTCGTAAACTTAAAAGTAAACAGCTTCACGTACGTACGTAGCCTGAAAATCAAACACCTTATCCATATACATTATACCGTAACAAGAACTAGTTGTCGCTTGAGCCACCTAAATTCTTAAAACCACCAGTCCAAGTCAACCCTAAATGCTCTCCTATATCAATCACCCCACCCCCAATGTGTTTTCCGATTGCCTTCTCCATTTTCTCCCACTTTCTTAGGAGTGTTTGGTTGCACAGAAAATGAAGACTACTTTTCCTTTTGACTTTTGAAATCGATGAGAAAACCCTGCTGTGACAAACAAGGCACCAACAAGGGAGCCTGGTCCAAGCAAGAAGATCAAAAGCTCATTGATTATGTACGTACTCATGGTGAAGGCTGCTGGCGTTCCATCTCCGAAGCAGCAGGTTCTTTTATTCGCCTCTATATATCAAGTTAAAAAAATGAGTTATTGATTTTTTTAAACTAGCTTTTCATCCATGAAAATCACCAGGTTTGCACCGTAGCGGCAAAAGTTGCAGGCTGAGATGGATAAATTACTTGAGACAGATATCAAATGAGGAAACTTTTCTCAAGACGAAGAGGAGTTGATTATCAAACTCCATGCTCTCCTTGGTAACCGGTATTATTCATATCCGATACACATGTATTTCGAGTGGATTATGTTCTCCTACTTAAATTAATGGACATATAAAATTATGAGTATTCATGTGTCTGACTAGGGTTATTGGCCGTTGGGTGGTCATTGATAGCAGGAAGATTGCCAGGAAGAACGGACAATGAGGTGAAGAACTACTGGAATTCCCATATAAAGAGAAAACCGATAAAAATGGGGATCGATCCCAATAACCATAAGTTGAACCAATATCCAAAACGTCCTCAACCTCAGCATGTTGTTCCTCCCATGAATGAGGCATTTAAGCTTAGAATGTCTTCAACGGACAATGATGGTGTCTCGGATGCTGCAAGTTGTATCAAAGACGAAACACCTGCCGCCGGTGTATCGAACTTGGATCTGGAACTTACAATCGCAGTTCCTTCGAGTCCTATAAAGAATATTGAAGAAAACAGCTCCCACCCTTCTTCTTTTTAGATGAGGAAAAACCCTACAAGGATGTGGACTAGTAAAAGACTAGACACCAAGTCCTTTGAAAAATGATGATTAAATTGTATATTAGCAAAGAACCATATACTATTCATCTCATTAAAACTAAAAGTATTTAAAGATAACCATCTGTATCTGTATTGTAAAAAAAAGGATAATCATCCGACAGTTAAAAAATCAAGTATAAACATTTTTTTTTCAAACTATAAATATATATATAGCAGAAAATAGCCTATGTAAACCCTTTCATGGATGTTGGAAGTGCTGGAATAATATCTATTGAAAATGGAGTTTGAGCTTTCCTACAAATAATGGAGCATTTGGTTTCATTGAACTCATCACGAAAGAGATTAGGTCTGAGGAGTAAGTCATTCTAATTTCACATGCAATTTTAACCACTCCTCTACAATATAAACTTTTTTTATTATAAAAAATTCAATTTTTTATTAGTCTTGAACAAGTACAAGGTAACATCTGTTCAAAAATAACTCTTAACCTTGTGACATTGAACGCTCACCCCTGACACCTATGATGCTTGAACCGGAGTCCACAAGGAATAACAACAATTCCTTAACTACGGAGTCCACTTAATTCGTTCCATCACCAAACAACTTGAGTATTGCATTTAGAACCCTTATCGAGTGTAAGTGTGTGTGTGACCGGCAGCATAACTTGTAATCATTGTCATCATACGATCAACAATTACGTTTTCTTTCTGGTAAACATGTTGTACTCACATATTTCACAATTTTTACAACGTTATTTTCTCCGCATATAAAATTTCTAAATAATTTTGTGCTAAGATAGTACTTCTAAAGACATGTACTTGCACAAAAGCACTTGCATAACCTAATTTTTTTTACAGGTCCAAGTTAATATTACTTTTAGGTTTATTAGATGACGTTTAGTTCAGTAGCTTGAAATTGAATGTGAAATTGCAACTACCTGGTACTCCCAACACCTAACCTCTTTCACGTTCAGGTTATTTGATATTTATGGAACAATCTTCGTTATGAAGCTCATATGAACATATATATTATTCATTTAATTAAATTTAAAAGGTAACTGCAAACAATGTTCCTGTGCCCTTTCCCTGGTGTATATTAAAGCCTGATACGATAGATTTAAATTAAAAAAACCTTGCAGGACATGAATAACAATTGCTACAACTGGAGTTCACTGGTTTATGCACCATGGTTTACAAGAATTACGCACCACTGGGTCTTTGAGAGCAAGAAAATCGATCGGAACACCACACGCGGAGGTCCATCTTGATCTGACGAGAAGCACTAGAGAACTGACTCGGAACTAGAAGAAACCCTAATGACTCTGGGCTATCAACCCGTTTCGGACTGCTCTTTGTGAAGGATTGTAATATAAGAGTACTTACATCAGCCTGATCTTTCACAATTAGTTCATAGAAGAAACCTCTCTCTGTTGAGGGTCCAATCCGGCTCAAAGTGACTACATTCCCCAAAGTCTCAACCTTGTTGTGGAGAATGAATAAAGAACCGTCCATCTCCTCCCGAAGAATAAGTGACTTTTCAGAAACTCCTACGGTGATGGGTGATGAACGATCATAAAGGAAACGTTCTGCGGAATACCTGTGTACATTACCAAAGTGAACACTTAAATCCTCTGAAGAACCCTCAAAGCAGCACCCGGAAAGTGGACATGAACATGAACATGGAGCAAAAGGACATGCCTTTTCATGTTTCTGCTTCAAGCTATAACTGAATGCTTCTTTGCACCCATACTTCAAGTTTTGGCAGGACACTTTGACGGATTCCAAAACCTTCTCAATCGCCCTGCAGCGACTATAGCCAATCGGAGTCGAACAGGATGGGCATCTATTCCTCATTTTGATACAACAAGTAGAGCAAGCTATATGCCCATTCTCACACTGAGTTGCCAATCAAACACATGCAAATTTAACAGGATGCATTTAGTGTATGAACAAATGAATAATAAAATTGCAAAAATGTCAAAATTTATTCGATATTTCAGTCAAACAAAATCCTTTCATCGGAAAAGGCCAAATCCATCCACCAAAAGACCCACAAGTCCAAAAGGAAAAAAAATACTACAAAATTCACATGAGAAACCATGAAAGATTGACCCTTCAAGAGTTCGTTCCAAGAAGCTAAGAATTAAACATTATATAACCCGTGGTTTTTCTCTATTCCCACAAATTCTGGTCTGAATAGGTCTAAATAAATCATGGTGGTATGTTAAAGTGGTTTTAAAGTCATTATGTCCAAGTATGAACAACAGTTTAAAACTCACAAACAGCTTCCCTGTCTACATTTACTAAGACTTGGGTGTCAGTGTCGAATACAGGTATGTGTCTAACATAGGCATGTTCAATCTTTTCTTAGTTTTCCCATGTATATGGAGAGCACTCGGAGGGCCCAATCCCCATATCCATATCAAAAAATATGGGTGCTAAAAGAAAAAAATGAATTGGGAACAACATAGCTCCCGATCATCTTAAGAGGTTAGAATCTCAAAAGGCTCATCCTTCCCCTGTCGACTGCATGTCCAAATATTGACAACAGTCCTAAAAATTACTCTTGTGGGACCCGGAATGTCTTAATTATATGATTAAAGAGAGATAGGAATGATCTATTCTTCGAATATTACTTATACCTGACTATTTGTAATAACTTGAAAATCCTGAAACTAGAAATGCAACTAAGATCTCGCCAATAGAGAAAGGTTACCGGCTTTACTAAACCTCAATATATTGCACTAATTGTTCATTTTTCTTTAAGTTCCCATGCAACATATATTCAACATGAGCATAGGGATATGACCCTCCGAAGACCCTTCAAGTACACAGAAAACTAGCAATGCATTTCGAAATAGCAATTTAGATTTAACTCAGACCAACAATTTTAGTTATTTCCCCTTACAAATTCATATAGGAAATGTGAAACATGAGAATTCCACATCATTGTCATGATCCATCAACTTATGAATCATCCTCTTTCATTGAAGCTAACAAACACTTTATTCACCATCCAAAATCCAAATAGTTCCTTTTAGCAGTCCATTAAATAAGAGCAAACACGACTTCTATCCTAGTATTCATTTATTTAAGAAGATTTGCTAAATGAAAGAACCTCGTCTTCATCCAGAAAGTATAAAATCAGCAATACCAACTAATAGACCGAAGTCCAAAGCTAAGCAAGTTCTCTATAATCATATGCCCCAAATCAATATTCAAAGTTTTGCATGAATAACTAGTGTTGATGGATTCATTTCATATGGATTTAAAGAAAAGAGAAATTGAAAAGAGAAACACAAACTGTAAATGAAGAAAATAAGAAACATAATCTGATAACATCGATGAATTTGAAAAGCTTACCCTAACAGGTAAAACCAATTTGCCAAAATCAAGAAATTAAACAAATTTTAGAAGTATTTCACCAATAAAAAAAACTCATGTGCATATTAAAGGGAAAACACTGAAATATGACTCCAAAACCCCAATCCTTTCGCCATAAAACAAAGAAATTAAACGAAATTTTGAACTTTTTCACCAAAGAAAAGAAAACCCATATCCGAAATCACTCAAGAGCCAATAATTAAAACACCAACCTGAAAAACAGGGATACTCAAGGCCTCGTAACAGATGAAACAATCAAGAACTTCAGGGTCAGTTAGCGTAACTGAAATAGATCCATCTCGAGCAGTCTGAGGACTCATTGGTCCTTTATCAGCTCCACTTTCCTCCAATTCTTCTTCTCTTTCAGATTCTTCTGCTCCTTCGGATGCTTCTTCTTCTCCTTCAGATGCTTCCTCGCCTTCCGATTCTTCGTCTTCTTCGGATCCTTCTTGACCTAAGCCTTCGATATCAAGAACACGCTCCGCCCTCTGACGCTTAGGGACTCGGTTGCTTGGCCCTTCTCCGTCTTCTTCGATCCCCACAGAGAACTTTGTCATTCTCTTCTCTCTTTCTCCTACACTTTTTTATTTCACCTTTATTACACTTTTCCTTTTTCTTTTTCACTTTAAAACATTACGGGTAAACTAAGAAACAATCACTAAACTATTACGATTTTTTATGTTAGTCCTAAACTATTTTTTAGTAAAAGCATAAGAACAAAATTACTCCCTAAATAGTTGTTTTTTCTCTCTTCTTTCGACAGTTGGCCTATCGTTCTTGAGGAACCCTAGGTAGTTCTGAGTGGTTTTTGGTTGTTTTTGTGCGTTGGGTTTTAATTCACTCATAGGGCAGTCGATTATCTAACTGGATGTGTCTTTTATGGTTGAGCTTTTCTCTGGTACGGAGGAGCAGACTCTAGAGTTTTTCCCTTCAAAATTGAGTGAAGGAACTTTAACTGTTAATCCTCCTCGAGGTGTGTTCGAAGAGGGGGTCTCTGAATGGAGACACTCGTTGGTTAGGCAGTTTATTTGCTCGACTCCAAACTTTAGTGCAATATAGAAGATTGTGGAGATGATGTAGGGAAAATCTTATATGGTGTAGGTAAGCCTTATTGGTTCCAATCTCTATGCATTTTCTTTTGGTAACGCTACTTTAAGGGATTGGGCTCTTGAAAATTGGCGTTAACACAAACAACATAAGCCTCTTATTTTGAGGAAATGGGAGCCACATCTGTCTCGATTGGACTTTGATTTGGCATAGATGCCTGTTTAGGTTCAATTGTTTGGATTTCCTCTCGAATTATATTCTAGGAAGAGTCTTAGCTATATAGCTAGTGCTTTAGGCATGCCTTTGTATATGGACTCTATAACTGTTGCTAAAGAGCGTTTAGAGTTTACTAAGGTATGCATTGAAGTGAGGGCTGGGGTTTTTCTACCCAGATCAATTTCTATGAAGATGCATGATGGTTATGTGACTTTGATTAGGGTAGTTGTGTCGAGGTTTCGTTCATGTTGTCCTACATGTAAAATCTTTGGTCATTTGGGTAAATCTTGCCCTAAAAAGGATAAGGGGCACAAAGATATGTGAAATATAAAAAGAATCACTCTACTTGGGAGGGCGGGGATTCCTCAAATAAGGCATTGCCTTGTAGTAATGATGTGTATCCAAAGTTAGTAACATGTGTTGCTAATAGTATTTTTGCCTTGTAAAAATGGCTTGAATCAAACTTCAAGTCATGAGGTAGATGTTTCTAGGGAAGTATTGCCTTGTAAAGACGAGGTTGTTGAGGTAAAGGTTTCAAAGGAGGTGCTTTCTGGCAAAGAGTTGATGCCTACTGATCGAGGGGTTGCTTGGTGGAGGGTGTTGCTTATGTTGTTATAGATACATACTGATTTTTACAATTAGAATTTTAATTCAAATTTACTTGCTTTTATTTTTATTTTTAATCAATTAAAACTTCTCCCATTTTTATTTTCACTTGCAGTTCACGCCTAGCATAGAAGCAAAAAGAAGTTCATCGGCAAATTACGATATTCCCTGCGAATCAACCTTTAATTTCTCTATTCTACTTATTTCTATTTATTTATATTAAGATTAAGGCATATTTTATTGGGCCATTAAAACGATGCGTTGTCACCCCTTAATACTCACTGAACACTCTTTCTCTTCCCTTCTAGTTTAAACCAAGGTGAGAATATTAATCTTCATCCGTCTATTTTCAAGTTAAGTTCCATATAACAAGTTTTAGCCATAAATACCAAAAATGGGTTTTAAGGAGGTTTAAGAGAATCAAGTGATTCAAGTTTGTTTTTAGTGGATTTAAGTTATAAGAAGTGTTCTTAACTCAAATTCAAACTCCTAAATAAGTTAGTAATCCATTTTTCTTGTTCTTAATTAATGAAAGAAGTGGGGGATAACTCCAAGGCTAAGAGGAAGGAAAATTAAACCTTGGTTGATTTGGGAAGGATTTTATCAGTAAAAGCAACAAGGTAACATATTCACAACTTCTTCATATCACTTGTGAGTTATTAGAGATGTATTCTACCTTAGAGTTGAACTATGGAGTATGCATGGTAGATCCCATGTTTTATGGTTATTAATAAGTTTATAGCCTTCTTTATGGCTTTTGCATACTCCATAAAATATTAATAATAATTGAGAACCTCAAAATAACAATATGAGTGAGTTTGAGTGTTGATTTCGAGCCCAAGTAAGGTATTTTCAAGTAGGGGTATCAATATTGTAAGAACAATACCATTATTGCTCTTCATTCAGATAAAATTAGCCTAAGTTTAAAAGAGGGAGTATCGATATTCATCAATAGAGTATCGATACTACGAGGTTGGTATCAATACTGGGATTACAAACCAAATTCCATAATACAATTTTGGTATCGATACCCTAGTCAGTATTAATACCTTAGCTTGGGAGTATCGATACTGGAATGGGAGAATCGATACTACCCCCTTATTTATTAGTTAAAACAAGCTGATGAGTATCGATATCCTAGGTGGAGTATTGATACTCTAGAGTTAGTATCGATATTGATATGCCTATTAACAATACTAGTATATTTTTTGTGCTTTAAATCCAAATGATTATAAGATGCGATGAGGTTTCCCAAAAGCTCTAATTACTTTCTAATAAGACTTCAAGTGATAATGTTGCTTAAGCACATTAGAAACAAGATTAATTATGATGATATAGAACTAGCTTTGTTTGAATACTTGGGAAACGATCAGGACACATGGGTTACTTTAATGAATGATACTAGTATCAAGTAATAGAATCAGTCTGGATATCCTTAGGTAGTGCGTAAGACACTTTAAACTGATTAACTGGGGCAGAGGCCCGACACTCATGAGGGGTGGATTAGTCGATGGTGTTGTGTCCAATGTAGAGACTCCGGACATCATCATCGGTAGACTAGAGGGGTGCGTGAGCTCCGAGATATAGAACCCTCAGTTATACCATGATGTCTACCATAGAGTAGAGAGTACAATATATGAGTATACTCACTATTGCATTGTAATTGATGGCCTAAGCTTTTAATGAACATTTTTAGTATGGTCTAGTTGTTAGTGTGGCACTGGGCTAATGAGCTTAGCGCTTGGAATTTATTTCCTTACGAGGGTTAGTAGGAGGAGCATTTCGAGAGCTTTTTGAATAGCCGAGATCCAGACCGAGTTCAAGTAGAGTACGTCTCAAGTCAAATTCTTTTGAGGGCATGTATATTTATGGACCCTTGTATATGTATTGAGTCGTAACTATATTTAAAATGTGGTATGTATATTTTGAAATATTATTTTAGGAGCTCACGATGTAAACTATTTATATATTTGTGGTTGATTTATTTTACCCGGAGGGTTTTCAAGAAATTGTTTTAGTTAAGGAAATTAAAGAAAAATTTTGGTTAGTCACTCCGGTGGTTTCATGTGGCATTCTGATAGGTCGAATGTGTGTTGTATCAGTTTAGAATGTTACATTTAATGTCACATCTATCACTCTTGTTCTTAAGGTGGATAATTATTCCTTGGCTAGAGACTACATACCTATTTTGTGCTACTCTGTAGTTTAAAAAGATATAACTAGGATCTTGGTTGCTAGGTTATCTAAGTATATACCTTGTATGATTTCCCCTAATCAAACTGCCTTTGTGAAGGAGAATGAGTATTATTGACAACACTCTTCTTGCCCAGGAGATTGTTAGGGGTTATAGTATAAGAGACATTTCCCCTAGGTGTTACATCAAGGTGGACTTGTATAAAGCCTTTGATAACTTAGATTAGGGGTTTATTTTAAACATTCTAGAGGCTTTGGATCTTCGTCTGTAGTTTATGGACTAGGTACAAGCTTGTATCACTGGATCTAGATTTTTTATTTTCATTCAATGGGATACTGGTTCGTTTCTTTAATAAGCAAAAAAGGGTTAGATAATGGGACCCTTTGCCCCCTATTTGTTTATTCTGGCTATAAATATCTTAACATGCTTACAAAATAAGACTATGTCTCAAGGAGTTTTCCAATTTCATCCTAGGTGCAGGAAAGTGAAGCTCACTCACTTGTCTTTTACAGATAATGCACTTATCTTCTATAAGGGAACAATTGACTCTGTGTTAGGGGTGAAGGTTTTTTTGGAGATGTTTTATGAGGTTTATAGTCTAAAGATAAATGCTGCTAAGTCTGAGGTTTTTACTTCAGGCATCTATAGGGAGAATGTGGCACTCATACATGAATCAACTAGATTTAAAATATGAAGCTTACCTGTCAGGTACCTGGGGTGTCTCTTGTTGCTAGTAAGTTGAGTGAGAAAGACTCTGATGCACTAGTTGGGAAGATAAAGGCCAAGATTGGAAATTGGGAAAATAGGTGGCTAAGTTATGCTGGGAAGCTGCAACTTATTAATGTTGTTATCTTCAGTATGGTGAACTTCTGGTGTAGGAAACTCGTGTTTCCTTGGTGTATAATTGAAAGGATTGAGCAAATCTACACCATATTTGTAACATCCCAAATTATGGGTTAGTGGCCAAATTGTAAGTTTAAAAAATTTGGTAACAAAAGTATAAATTATTAAAAAGTTCAATGGTTTAAGTATGAATATTTCAGTATTGAATTAATGGTAATTATGAAATTATGGAAGGGATATAATGGTCTTTTTATGGAAAAGATATTTGTATCTTATTAAAAGAGATAAGCTTATGGGTGGAGAGTATCTAGAAGCTTATTTTCTTCTTCTTCTTCTTCTCCCCGTAAGCTCCATAGCAAAGGTAAGATTTCTTAGTTGTTGATTATTAGTTAAAATTTAAGTGGGGTTTTAATCATTAGGTGATACTTAAGCTTGGGGAAAGCTTAAGTTATCTTAAAATCAAAAGATGAAGAAGTTATAAAAGATTAAAGAAAATGAGTTTCAAAGTGAATTTCTGAAATATAGTTAATAAATCAACTTTGAGATAAAATTTGACTTGTTCTCAATGTGAATAAGAAGTTATAAATGTTAGAATTGAATTTAGAACATGTTGAAATTTGAGTATGATTCTTGAATTTCTTAAGGAGAATAGGATATGGAGGTCAAAGAAGTGATTATTGA